TAGCTGCATATGCGGACAACATGTTGTTTTATACCGTAAACCCTAGAATAACGTTGCCAAATTTAATGAGATTGTTAAAGCAATGTGGCGAGTTGTCAAACCTGAAAATATATCCAACAAAATCAGAGATAATAAACATTAATTTATCAAAATCAGAGGAGCAGAGTATTCAGAAAGAGTTCCCAATTATTTGGAGGGGTAAAGAAATAAGTTATCTGGGAGTAAAATTAACCCCTTCAATAAAGGGCCTATATCAGGCGAATTTCATCCCATTAATAAATGAAATTAAGGATGAGTTTAAGAGATAATAGATTGGATATATAATGCACAAGGGAAATGTTGGGTGAATATGGAAGGGATTTTGAGTAGGGCATAGTTAGGGAAGATGGTATGGATACCACATAACTTTTGCACATTAGATGTGAATATTAGTCCACTGACAAAGTTAGTATTAAATGTTTGGGATAGGTTATGTAAGCAAAAAGGATGGAAATATAACTCACTTATGATTCCCCCGGATGGAACAGAGTATTTCCCCCCAGGGAAGGATAATATTTTGGGGAAATGGTTTAAAGATAAAGTCCAATGAGTTCTGAAGCATTTGGCTGAATATGAGCAGATAATATTGCCCGAAACACTTCAGAATTCATCCTGCTGCTTTTGTCAGCAGTCACATCATCAATAAATACAAGAGAACCAGTTCCATTGGCAGCCATACATGCCCACGCCATGACACTACCACCACCATGCTTCACTGATGAGGTGGTATGCTTAGGATCATGAGCAGTTCCTTTCCTTTTCCATACTCTTCTCTTCCCATCACTCTGGTACAAGTTGATCTTGGTCTCATCTGTCCATAGGATGTTGTTGCAGAACTGTGAAGGCTTTTTTAGATATCGTTTGGCAAACTCTAATCTGGGCTTCCTGTTTTTGAGGCTCACCAATGGTTTACATCTTGTGGTGAACCCTCTGTATTCACTCTGGTGAAGTCTTTTCTTGATTGTTGACTTTGACACACATACACCTACCTCCTGGAGAGTGTTCTTGATCTGGCCAACTGTTGTGAAGGGTGTTTTCTTCACCAGGGAAAGAATTCTTCGGTCATCCACCACAGTTGTGTTCCGTGGTCTTTCGGGTCTTTTGGTGTTGCTGAGCTCACCGGTGCGTTCCTTCTTTTTAAGAATGTTCCAAACAGTTGTTTTGGCCATGCCTAATGTTTTTGCTATCTATCTGATGGGTTTGTTTTGTTTTTTCAGCCTAATGATGGCTTGCTTCACTGATAGTGACAGCTCTTTGGATCTCATCTTGAGAGTTGACAGCAACAGATTCCAAATGCAAATAGCACACTTGAAATGAACTCTGGACCTTTTATCTGCTCATTGTAATTGGGATAATGAGGGAATAACATACACCTGGCCATGGAACAGCTGAGAAGCCAATTGTCCCATTACTTTTGGTCCCTTAACAAGTGGGAGGCACATATGCAAACTGTTGTAATTCCTACACCGTTCACCTGATTTGGATGTAAATACCCTCAAATTAAAGCTGACAGTCTGCAGTTAAAGCACATCTTATTAGTTTCATTTCAAATCCATTGTGGTGGTGTATAGAGCCAAAAATGTTAGAATTGTGTCGATGTCCCAATATTTATGGACCTGACTGTATATGTTTTATCATAGGTGTACTTTAAATGATAGAGACAGAATATCTACCAAAAAATGATAGAAACAGAATATCAACCTAAACATGACTTAGTACGTGGTGGAGAAACCTTTGTTGGCAGGCACAGAGGTAAGTCGTTTCTTGTAGTTGGTTACCAGGTTTGCACACATCTCAGAAGGGATTTTGGTCCTCTCTTGTTTACAGATCTTCTCTAAATCCTTAAGGTTTCTTAGCTGTCACTTGGCAACTCAAAGTTTCAGCTCCCTCCATAAATTTTCTATAGGATTAAGGTCTGGAGACTGGCTAGGCCACTCCATGACCTTAATGTGATTCTTCTTGATTCACTCCTTTGTTACCTTGGCAGTATGTTTTGGGTCATTGTCATGCTGGAAAACCCATCCACGACCCATCCTCAGTGCTCTGGCTGAAGGAAGAAGATTCTCATCCAAGATTTTACAATACATGGCCCTGTCCATTGACCCTCAATGCGGCAAAGTCAGCCTGTACCTTTGGCAGAGAAACAGCCCCAAAACATAATGTTTCCACCTCCGTGCTTGACTGCAGGGATGGTGTTTTTAGGGTCATAGTAAGCAGTTTTCTTATTCCAAACACAGCGAGTCGAGCTAATGCCAAAGAGCTCATTTTTGGTCTAATCTGACCACAGCTCTTTTTCCCAATCCTTCTCTGAATCATTTAGATGTTCATTGGCAAACTTCAGACGGGCCTGTACATGTGCCTTCTTGAGGAGGGGGACCTTGTGAGCGCTGCAGAATTTTAATCCATGGCGGCGTATTGTGTTACCAATGTATTGTTTGGTTACTGTGGTCCCAACTACCTTGAGATCATTCATAAGCTCTTCCTGTGTAGTTCCGGGCTGATCCCTCACTTTTCTCATGATCATCCTTACCCCATGAGGCAAAATATTGCATGTTTGCGAATACAGGTAAAAAGTTTTGGGCATAAAATTAGCTAATCTTACATAATTTTGATGTGCTGAAAACGAAAATGACCCTAAAAAATGTTGATTGGCTCTAGTTTCCATGATATATTCACCCATCTAATGACGTAAGCCATTCAAAATTATGATGCAACTTCAGCTGCATATTGTGCAATTGATACTGGTGACCAATAGAAAATTGCATGTATACTGAGATGATGCAATATTAGCCTTTAATTGCATCACTTCACTGCATAAAAGCTGCAGTATCTGTAGCTGATTGTAGTTCGACAGCGTCTTCACATTTCGTTTTATGCTTATATAGGCTACTCAGTAATGCCTCGAACTTGTGTGAATAAAGCAGATAATTTCTGCTATATCTGCGGTGAAATAACTTTTATCTCACAAAAAAGGAGGATAACAGGAATGATTAAGAAAGCCTACAACTTGTATTTTGGCTGCAAGATAGGAGACCAGGACAAGAGCTGGGCACCACATATATGCTGCAATTCTTGTGGGACGGCACTGGAGCAATGGTTGAATGGAAAAAAAAGGCATCTATGCCTTTCGCTGTGCCAATGATTTGGAGAGAGCCAACAGATCATGTTAGTAATTGTTACTTTTGTATGGTGCCTCCAATTGTAAAAGGGCTAAATAAGAAGAAAAAGTTATCTGTGCACTATCCAAATATTCCATCGGCAATACGTCCAGTTCCTCATGGAGAGGGGCTACCAATTCCTAAAGCACCAGAATCCTTCGTGGGTGAGTCAAGTGAGGAAGAACCTGAAGCGTGTAGTCACGTGCAGTTGTAAGAGATAGCCCTTTCCTCGAATACAAGAGAAAAGCCAAGAGAAGCAAAACCGACACAAACTGAAGACAAAACTAGTGAGAATCCTAAGTATTAAAATGATTCAACTTAGCTTATGGCTATAATTTTTCTTGGTAATCCTATGCAATATATTATGCCATTTAGGCTTTGTTATGTAGTCAATATCACTTGCTTTATATTTGTGGAAAGACATCTATCTATATAATTATTGTGCATTATGTAGTCATTACGCCTATAGTAGAAAACTTTCCATTTACAGAAAAACTAGAGCCAATTGACAAATTTCATTGTTATATTTGAACTCAGAATGTGAAATTCATTAAGAAATGGATCCTTTTGTTTCCAAAACTGGCAAAAAATAAAAATTTGTTGAACAGTGTAATCGTTCCAACAGTTGCCTCCTTCTCACCAAGCTTCTTGCTGATGGTCTTGTAGCCGATTCCAGCCTTGTGCAGGTCTATAATCTTATCCCTGACACCCTATGACAGCTCTTTGGTCTTGCCCATGGTGATGTTTGAATGGAAGAAAGAGTATATGTGGACAGGTGTCTTTTATACACATAACGAGTTGTCATTAGGAGCACCTTCTTAAATTGACAAGACTAATTTGTGTACCACATGAGCACATAGCCAGTCTGTGGGAGCCAGAATTATTGTTGATTGGTAGGGGATCAAGTACTTATTTCACTCACTGAACTGCAACTCAATTTTTAACATTTTTTATATGTGTCTTTTTCTGGATTTTTGGTTGATATTATGTCTCTACCATTTAAAATATACCTATGGTAAAATTATAGACCCTTAATTTCTTTGTAAGTGGGCAAACTTACAAAATCTGCAGAGGATCAAATAATAATTTTCCCCACTGTATTTCCCTATCCAATACTGTTTTCACATCTTTTTTTACACTTTTTTGCATTTCAGTGCCGGTGATCTTCTACAGCCTTGTTTAGCTACTTCCGGCCTACATGCACCATATTCGGCATCACATCATTGTTCTGGACCGGTTTACTAACAGTGCTAATAATGAAGAGTGTCTGCACAATATATATCAGTAAAACTGCTTGTGGCAGGGTGACAACACAGGAGAGCACAATTGGGAGACAGTTTTCACCCTGTAACCTGAACTGCCTGAACAAAGACCATCATGGCAGAATAACCAGGCATTCTTTATATTAAAAGTGATTTTTTCTCCTTCACTGATGTGCGCTAATGAAGCTGCAGTGATGGGCACTGATAGGCTGCACTGATGGACACTGATAGGTGGCACTGATGGGCACTAATGAGGAGGCACTGGTAGGTGGCACTGATGGACATTGACAGGCATCACTGATGGGCACTGAAAGGCAGCACTAATACATGGCACTGATAGGCAGCACTGATAGACGGCACTGACTGGCACCGTTAGGCGGCACTGGCTGGCACTGTTAGGCGGCACTGACTGGCACTGTTAGGTGGGACTGACTGGCACTGTTAGGCGGCACTGACTGGCACTGATAGGTGGCACTGATGCGCACTGATAGGCAGCACTGACTGGCACTGATAGGCAGCACTGACTGGCACTGATAGGTGGCACTGATTGGCAGCACTGATAGGTGGCACTGCTTGGCATTGATAGGTGGCACTGACTGGCACTGATGGGTGACACTGAAAGGCAGCTCAGATGGGCACTGATATGTGGCATTGATGTGCACTGGTAGGCACTGATATGTGGCACTGATGTGGCACTGATGGGCACTGGCACGAGGCACTGATGAGCACTGACTGCTGGCACTGATGGACACTGACAGGTGGCACTTCTGGGGCCACACTGATCATCAGGGCACACTGATCATCAGTGCCCTGATGATCAGTGTACATGTCCCCTCCACGGAAAGCCGATTACCGGCTCTCCTCTCCTCTCGAGCTGTCAGCGTGACAGCTCGAGAGGAGAGAAATGCCGATAACTGGCATTTCCCTGTTTACATGTGATCAGCTGTGATTGGACACAGATGATCACATGACCGAACCGACATCTTCGGCTCTTTCCGTGATCGGTGATCCGCTGTGTCCGAGGGACACAGCGCACCGCCGATCGCCGCGCTGCACGCTCCCTGAGCCGCGCATGCGCAGTGAGAATGGGAGGACGTCATATGATGTCCTCCCAGAACGAGAGAGCCACCTTGCGCCCGTCATATTACTATATGGCGGGTGGGAGGTGGTTAAAAAATGTATTTAATTACATTTTTATTTAATTTTCTGTTTTATTTATATTTTTGTTTTTTATGTGCTTGTACCATATAATTTACACTTTAAGGACCATTTTTTTTGTGCACTTTTGGGTATGGGTACTTTCGCACAAGGATATGCAAGGTCACATGTATTTAAACATATTTATATATGTGCATTATATCCTGATACCTCTGGGAATGATAATGTACTCTGTATTGAATTCATTGTTTAATCATATTTACATTATACAAATGTAAGTTTTGTACCCATATTCTTTATTACTGATTATTTTTCATTATTTTCTATTTATCACGATTCATTTCCCAGATTTTTAGGTGGTATATTAAATATATTAATTTTATATGGCAATTGTATAGAGTGCCTATTATGTACTTTACCTTAGAATTTTTTTTCCTCTCATTTATTTATCTGTGATTTTAATATGTTACATTTTTTGTTTGACTGATCATCTTTACTATACATTGGTTTTGACATTTCTGTCCCGACTAAGTTCATTTTAGGCCCCTCTTACATGGGGCGAACTCTGCCTTGCTCAGCGGGGAATCTGTCCAGTGATAACAGGTCCATGTCTGCTCCATTTATGCAGAGAGGTCACAGATCCAAATTGCTCTCCTGTATTGGCAGTTTGGTGTAAATGGATGGACAGTTCATTTCTTTAATAAAAATTGAGGAAAAAAAAAAAACTTGATGGAAGCTCTCCTTTATCTCCAAAACAAAACTGTAATATTTTCAGTCAATTTTATTTTCCTTATTTGAAAAAAAACTTCACCCCTAAACTGCTGTGGCAAAGTAAAACAAATTTAGGAATATAGGATGATCCAAATGAAGCAAAGGATTTCTTTTAAGAGGTCTGGTCTTCATAACAGCTTTTACAAATTGCTCCACTAAGGGATTATTGGGAGAACAAAAGCTGTTTAGAGCAGAAATGACAGAGCCTTTAATCTGTGAATAGCTGACACTTAAAAGAAATCCAGACATGATTGAAGAAATATTAATGTCTAAAAAAACTCAAAGGTTGGTGGGATCCAAAGACTTGTGGCCAGTGGAGACAAACTTGTCCCATACCCAATGGTACATACCATTAATAGAGTTCTCCTGTGTTTTCTGGAAGATACAAATTACCGTAGAGAAAAATCACAAATCTTTTTTCCACTCAATCATAAAGTCCTCAAGGCGACCAGAAGCAGATGCAAGATGTTTCCTTGTGGGTTATTGAGTTTAACAAAACGTTGTAACTAGCGGTAAGGAAGCCAGAACTGTCACTTGCTCAGAATGAAGATAAACCAGAAATCTTAGTATTCATAGGATGCACTTTACTAGACTTGAAAGATGACTGGCAACAACTTTCCAGGAAATAATACAGATCATGGAAAGACTTGATGGAGTTATGGGAAGATGTGAATGTGAAGATATATACTGTAAATAAAACCAAATGATGTGTTTCTTTCTGGCAAATACTATCCACCCTAATGCCATCCAAAATTCTCCATGCTCCCACCTCTCCAAATGTATTTCTGTTTTTGAATAGTGTTGTAAATAAATTAGACTGTATTGTATATCTTTTGAAATTCTATGTAATCATAAGTTGACAAAACACCATTTTGAAGCTTATCAAAAGTTAAGGTATAACTAAAAACACATCTTTCTGGTTCTGGAGTGGAGAGGGACAAACTAAATAGAGGGGAAATCTTCAAATGGGGACACTAATTTTGGTGACTCTGCTGACAACCAGGGATTCCCTCACTTTATGTTTTAAATCTGGGACAGGTAGTGAAGGGAAAGCTGCCCAATGGGACAAAGATGCTTAATAAACTGACAAGACCCCCCCCCCCTTACTTCAAAATGAAAAAGGAGGTCTGACACTAGTTCTACGGCAATATTTGTAGATGTAATGACATCTTATGCTTTACTCATTGCTTTACTTAATGCTTGGTTAATAAATAGGGGAGGATTGACAATTGGCTATACATGAGTAGGGAAAGAGGGATTTGGGAGGTAACATTTACTACCTATACGTGTCTACATTCAACTATAAGCAATTGTAGCCCCATGGTTACTATCTTTATCCTTGGTCTTATTTGCAAAGATTATTATTAGAATTATATGGGATTTTTATAGCACTTACAGTTTGTACATCACTTTACATTTTGTTTCTCTCTGGAATTAACTAATTGTCTTCCTTAGTAAAGATAATGAGGTCCCTTAAAGATCATTTTAATTAATGCTGTCTACTCTTTCAAATGAGTTTAACTTGCCTTAATAAGGCTACTTATATCTACCTTTTAACTGGAGATATTCAGGAAAAAAAACAAAATGACTTATTTTTAAAATTGCCCTTACACCTTAGATGACTATTAGTCTATTTTTGGCTCAATTCAACACCTAATAAAGCATTTGCAAACACTGTCAGCAAAGGTTCAAATCTGATCACTATTGTTTTCTTGTTTATATGCTAGGGCCAGAGGTGTCTCCAGTGATCTCTCATGATCTGCCCTATAGGTTAAATGCCAACTGCACAAAAAAGTGACAATTCTTCTTTAGTGGCCTTCTAGAAGAAGAAGATGCCTAAGGCTGGTTGAATCATCTCCTCTTCTGTATATGACCACTTTCATACAATATACTATAAAGTCATTAAAAATCCAAAATTAGAAAAATCTCACATGTGAATCTTTGCTAAATTTTATTGGGAACAATGAATTTCAACACTTTAAAACAAGGCAAATGCTTTTACAAACTCATAATGGAAAATAAATGAATACTGTTCAAAGAGTTTAAGGGATTATAATCATGGCCACAAACATTACAATCTGAGTGTATGACTAATGTACAACCACCACATTTACTACCCATATAGTAAAATCACCTACCTATAACATTTGTTCAGTTTTTACCCAATAAGGTAGACCCTTACATTAGTTCTTGGTAAATCTAAAGAAAATTGTATAATCATGTTGTAACACGTGGCCATTTTAAGATGCTAAATATAAATACTATCCACATCCTGCATTTTCTTTTAGTAAATATTAATGTAAACATTAGTAGATCAAATCAAAACATTTTTCTCTCAATCTATGTTTATCTGAGTTCATTACAATCATGATTTACAGGTGTATTACGGAACAACGTCTTTGCAGTAAAATCTCTGATCCATTGATTTAGTGGAGATGATCTCAATGGACTTGCCTCTTAAAAGCACATGTGCAGCATTAATCAAAATTTGTCTGACATTGAAAAAATTAAACCAGAGCGCTGGCCTTGCACTATAATGATTTGCCTTTAAACCTAAATTTTACATAACATAAAGCTTAGAAGATATGTTCATTACAAAGAAAATGGTTGCTGAGAATATGATGTCTGTCACTGGGGTTGATTTACAAAAGGAAAATAGCCTGCTTACTTTGCAAAGAAATTTTCCCTTAGCTCAGTGAATTTGGTGAAAATTCTGTATTTTTGCTTGCACATGTCAAGTCAACAGAGCTTCACTGTATTCACTAAACTAAGGGAAAATTATTTAGTAAAGTAAACAACCTTATTGTTTTTAGTAAATCATTCTCTTTTTATCAGAATGATCCAGGAATAGTATGCATATGAAGGCACACTTCAGAATGGAAAGATTGAATCATACAGACTACCAGCTCCTACAGCATACAGCACAATGAGCTCATTCACTTTCTTAGGGACCAACTGATGTTACACAGAGGCTGACCTGCTTTGGAATTATATAATTCCACCATTCTCTGATTTCCTTTAACTTTAGCTCAGTGGAAATAAGGACATGCAAACTTGACACTTCAGCGCTCAGAAGTGCTAGAAGCACCAATCATTAAACCACAAATCCAAAAGCATTTTGCAACCGGAATAGGAAATACAGTGCGGCCCCCTCCTCAGATCGGAGAAATCCAACACTGCACAAAACACAAACAGAGAGGGCAAACGCCTAGCAGCGCTTTAACAGAATTTGTGCTGAGAAGCACAAGCCAAGTGAGCTGAAGGCATGTAAATGCACAAACAAAACCAAGAGCATTTTGCAACCGGAAAAGGATAACAATGTCAGCTAACCAATTTGTGGCCCCCTTCTTCAGAACAATCAGCCATAGCTCTCCCAGTCCCCTGAAATGCCTTAGCTGACAATCCTTTCTCCAGTTGGAGTTGGAAAGCGGTCATCCTCCCTCACATTCCTTCTGTAAACTGAAAGTATTGTAAGGTAATGTCTCCCTTATTAAGTGTTCTTGCATGGCAAGACACTTACTGTTATTCACATATATTTCCTATTATTATAGCCAAATGTTCTATTTTTACACACTATAGACATCAAACGTGCGGATTGTTCCCGATTGGTGTGCTATTACTTTGTGGAACGTTTCGCTGAATAGGTTCAAAATATCATAATATATTCATGAATGGCAGCCAAGTGGGAGCTGACAAAAGCTAGAGTGTGAGCAGAAAAATCAGGACATGTAAATGCATTTTCAAAGCCCACCTAAAACAAGATCAAAACGTTCATATCCCTGCTGCCAACTCCAATGCCATAGTCCTGATAGTTTTCACAATAAATTTGTTTGCAACTCACTAACCAATTTGGGGGAACCCATTGACATTCATTGAAACTGCAACTCTAGCCACCTCAAATTTGAGAATTTCAAACTGCAACTGTAGCCATTTTCTAAAAAAGGAGGCATACAGCATCAAAATGCCTTAGCTGTGATTCTCATTGTCTTCGGTGTAGGATTTATAATTTTAAACTCAACCGTTTGGAGTTGGAAAGCGGTCATCAAGTCCAGTTTGTTTTTACATTCTCTGCCCTTGCTGTAGTACCATGAAAGTATTT